TAGGTAAGCAGGATGCATCCCTCCAGGGAGAGAGTGCACATTCCATTTCAATAATCTATCTCTGGGATTATCCCGGCTGACCCCAAAAAACATTTGATGCAGTTCTACATAGAATCGACACACAGAGGGTCGTTGGAATCTTACCAATGGGCTCGGCAGCACTTTAACTTTGTTTTATTGTAGTTGATACAAAGGATAATTTTTAAGAACAGAGTTGCATATTTATACTCTTTTATCACAGCAAAAGATCTCAAAAGTGTTCACAAGTAATTACTGTCAAGTGGAGAGAATATTTTTCTAGGCAATCACTTGTGCCAGCAAAGTCCCACAAGCAGTCATGAGATGAATGGCCAATTAATCTGGAAGATTGTTAGTCAAGACACCAGGGGAATCTCCATTTTCTTTTCAAATAGTGCCGTGGGATCTTTACCTCATCTGAACAGGCAGACGGGAAGGTATTATTATTATTGATTAATATAATATGATACAATACCATCTGAAAGATAGGAACTCTAACAAGGCAGCACTCCCCCAGCACTGCACTGAAATGTCGACCGAGTCTGCGAGCTCAAATCCTGACTTAAATCCAGAGAAGTATAGAACTTTACAGGACAGAAGGCCATTCGGCCCATCGTGCCTGTGCCGGCTCTTTGAAAGAGCAGTACAGTCCCATTTACCTGTCTTTTCATTATATTCCCGCCTTTCCCAGATGCATGCCAAAAGTGCAGGCAGTGATGTCAGCTGTGACCATTTGTGCTTCCTGTGCGCTGGATTTGTGTTGTTGTTGTTGTGAGCAAGGGCAGCACACAGGAAGTGATGTCACAGCAGCCATGTTGGCAACATGCCCTGCTGTTACTTTCTGAATTGGGTTTTATGGATTGATCTCTTCTCTATCCATCACAGACAATCCATCTCAAAACACTTTCTCATCTCCCTCTCCTCTCACAACACCCTCCCCTCCTCCAAGCCCTCCACTGCATTTTTCGCCCATGAGTCCACCCACGACGAGTCCATCACAAAAGCTCTCTCATCCTCGGACCTTCTCTCCCTCTGAGCTTCCACCTGCAGTGATTCAGAAGCAACCATCAAGCTGCTGAGCAATCACCTCTCCTTAATTTTCAATTCCCTTGTTCCCCTGAAAACCAGGTCCATCTCCAAGCCTATCCGCTTCCCCTATTACAACAGTCATCTCCACTCCCTCAAATCCCAAACCCAGTTGCTCGAGCGCAGATGGCACAAAACCGGCTTCACGGTTCACTGATAACTGTGGCTCGAGCATTATCTTCATACCTACCGCCTCGCCCTCTCTCAAGCCAAAACTGCCTTCTATTCACAAATCATTCTCGAGGCCAAAAAACAACTCCAAAATCCTGCTCTCCACTACCACTAAAACTCCTCCACACCCCGTTTCAAGAATCTTCGACTCTCATTTCTGATGTCAAGTGCAAAGAGGTCCTGGACTTCTTTATCTCTAAGATAGATAACAATCGCTGGCTGCCTCCTCCTTCTCCCCCACCCCCAATCCCCCTTAATCACCCTCTCCTCCTATCACAGCTCCTATCCTACACACCTTTGCCTCCATCGTTCTATCCTCCCTTTTCCCCACCATCACCCAGAAGCCCACCATTTGCTTCCTTGATCTCCTCCCCACCCAGCTTCTGGTTACTCAACTCCTCCTCCTCTACCCACTGCTGCTGACACAATCAACCAGTCCCTCAACTCAGACTCTATCCCACTCTCCCTCAAAACTGCTGTCATCACTCCTCTTAAAAAAAATACCCTCAATCCCTCGTTTTGGAACGCGTTGTTGCAAATCAACCTCACTCACACCTCTCCCTCCACTCCCTACTTAAACCCCTCCAGTACGGTTTTCGCCCTGCCCACAGCACAGAGACAGAGCTCATCAAAGTAACAAATTATGTTGTCTCTCCAGGATCTCTCTGTGGCCAGGGCTCCTTCTGCCTCCTCGTCCTCCTGGATCTCTCTACTGCGTTCGACACAGTCGACCACGCCATCCTCCTCTGCTGCCTCTCCTTCCTCATCCACCTCAGTGGGACCACACTCGCATAGTTCGAGACCTACTTAACAAATTACCAACAATACATCTCGGCAAATGGTTTTTCCTTTCGCCCTAGTCGCCTGCCTCTAGTCACTGACAATGGAAACAATCTCTGACCAGGTGATCTCTCAGAATCCTTTATCATTGTAAAGACAATCAGGACTCACTTGAACCTTCCCGTTTCATTGAAAATAAGCCCGGTTCCTCCAGTTTCTGCTCATAACCAGAAGTCCCTCAACTGCTTCTGCTCGTCCCTAGTATTGTATCATCCTAGTAAATCTCCTCCGTAGCCTTTCTATGGTCCTAACTCTCTTCCTAAAGTAGGGTGACCCAAACTGGACACTGACATTAACTGAAGCCTAACTAACAATTTGTACAAATTAAGCATCACCACTTTTGGTTTTATATTAGGACTATAAGATTACTATAAGATTATTTTTGAAAAAAAAAGATGGCCCTTGCCTCTGAAATGGGGAAAGCAGGAAGAAAAAAGACATGATGAGAAATGAAGTGAACGTTAGAAATAAATTGAGAGAGAAAATGTCAAGAGTAGGTAGAGAAGGGGTTGAATTGGAAGGAAATAGTTACAAAGAGACACAGAAACAGAAAGGATAAAAAGATGACACAGTACAGGCAAAATGTTTTAGTGCTTTATTTCTACTTCCACTCGTACTGTCTGTATTGACATGAGTTGACCTGGTTAATATTAATCCATGCAATAATAATAATCCTTGCATTTGAGACGTCTCAAAGAGCTTCACAGAATATAATGTAAAGTGAATTGACTATATTTTGTGGGCGAAATGCAGCAGCCAACTGCACACAGCAGTGTCCCACAAACAGTCGTGGATTGAGTGACCAAAAATTATTATTATAGTTATAGTTAATATTATAGTAATAACACTATTTCTGATGTTTGAGCAGTTTTAGCCCTTATAACATTTGCGCTTCCATACACATGTCGAGCTATCAGTGACTCAGCTTGGGTTCGATCAGTCTCCAGAGATAATGATTCAAGGGGATCTCATAGAAATGTACAACATTTTAAATGGGATTAAAAAAGTAAACCCAGATCAATACTTTAGAATGCAACAAGACAGTAGAACAAGAGGACGCAGGTTAAGAATTGTAAAGGGCAATTTCAGGACAGATACCAGGAAGATATTTTTACTAAGAGGGCAATTAACGACTGAAACAAATTGCCAAGAAAGGTGATAGAGGCAAGGACACTGGACTAATTTTAAAAAAAATCTTGATGCTGGATAGGGGATGGCTGGGGATTGTTCTGGAGGGATAAGATCAGATTGGATAGTTAACTGAGGAAAGGGCAGATAAATGGCTCTGAAAGGGCTTGCTGTTAAAAGAGCCAGCACATGCACGATGAGCGGTATGACCTTTTCATGTGTTGTAAATTTCTATGGTTTTATGGTTTCTATTGGATGGGCTGAATGGATGGGTTCATGCGAACCGATCTTGTGATCTTGTGATGCTCTTAAGGCTGATGATGGAATTCTATGTGTGTCAGACGAAAGAGTAAATAAATAATTGTGTTGAGCTTGGCAGTGTGTGCGTTGAAAATGTTTGGAATGTAGAGGAAAATAGTGCTGTGATCTACCTGGCCAGTCTCAAAGACTGGAGTTTCCTGCTCATTTTATAATATAGGGTAATTCTGTAAAAGTGTAGTGACTGTGTGTTCTGTGGATATCTGTCCACAAAACATACAATCACTAGGCTTTACCTGCAGAGTATATCCTCTATATACCTGTATATCCTGGGATGTCCTTTCGAAATGAAAGGCACAGAACCAAATGTAAGGATTCTTACTATTATTACAATGCCAAACATTACTATCAACATCTCCATTATGGTCGATGGTGGACTAGATGGACTAGGTCTTTTATCATCTAGACATTCCTGTGTTGCTATCTGTTTCATTGTTAAAAGGTGTGTGAGCTCAGAACGTCGCTTACAGCAAGGAGAAATGACCAACCCAGGGGAATTAATAATTCTCTGGATTTACTTTCAGTTTAAAGACTAATCAGTACCTGAAAGGGAGATTCAGTCACATTTTAGTCAAACATTAATGCAAATCGACCTTTGAAACATCTGGGGGAAGGGGGAGGGGAAGGATGGGAAGGTTTGCAGAGAAGGAGAAAGATACCTCCAAGCAAAGGGTCTTGGGTAATGGTGAGACAAACAGAAAGTATTTGTTTGAAGCATTTGGTTTCATAATAAAACAATTTTTAAAAAGTTGCTGAACCTGCTAGAAGCCTGGGCATGTTTTTATTATATAAATAAACCCACCATATTTGACAGGGATGGGGAGGGGGACTTTAGATTTTTTTTGTAGGGGAGGGAGGGGAATGGAAATTTTTCTTTACATCTCTGCTCCTGTGTTAAAGATTGAAACCACATTTAGAGTCCTGCAGACAGCTGTGCCACCTTATCGCTACCAGATGTGCTTGCGCGTTGGCCAGGGGTGACTCTTCTGAGCAGTCTGCATCTCGGCCCATGTGACTGCCTGCAACCGCCTTCCAAACCAATCATTACTCTAATAATAGTAATAATAATAATCCTTGCAGTTGATATAGCACCTTATTACGTCATTGAGATGGCTCAAAGCGTTTCACAGAATATACTGTCAAGTGAATTTACTGTATATTTTGTGGGCAAAACGCGGTAGCCAATTGTGCACAGCAGTGTCCCACAAACAGTCGTGGATTGAGTGACCAAATTACTTTTTTTTTGAAGGGATTATTACCCCCGGAAATCAAACTGCCAATCGGCTAACAATTGAGTTCCTAATTACTGCTAGGTAAACAGAGACATGTGGAATAAGGAAACTTGCCTAAAATTTCGCCCTGCCCGGGAATCTAAACCAGCTCCTCTCGCTTGGAGGCAAATTATTCTTATCCCTCCTTAAATCCAGCGCAGTACTTACGGATCACTTCAACCTTGTACGTCGCATTTATCTCTCCAGCTCGGTTATACACTCGGCAGGTGTACTTTCCACTGTCTCCTGGCTTTACGTTCTTCAGGGTCAAGGTCCATTTCTTCTTCTTGGCTTCCCCTGCGTCCTGAAGGGCCAGTGGCCTGCCGTCCTTGAGCCAGGTGATATTGGGCTGTGGGTGCCCGCCCGCGGCGCACTTCAGGCGGACAGAGCTGCCCACAGGCCGGGCTATCACCCTGCGACGCATTTTGGTGGGCTGTGTAAACCTGGGTCTGACTACAGTCACCAAAGAGAGAGAAAAAAAAGGTTCACTCTGATGGTGGTGGTGTGGAGGAGGGAGATGTGTGGGGTAGAAAGATAAAAAGGAGTCTGCACTTGCCTGTTGAGACACTCATCCTCCAAACTTATTCAATATCCTTTTGAATTCAATCCTTACCTTGTGTTCCTTACACTCCGTCTCTCGCTACACTTTATTCAAACAATAATTTTGGGATGCACCAGGACAGTAGGACAAGAGGTCTTTGGTTTAAGAGTTGAGAAGGTCAATTTCAGGACAGACACCAGGAAGCTTTTAATTAATGGATAATTAACGACTGTTCCATCTCTTTGAGCAATTAAACTTGAAATTAAGAAGACAGATATTTGCCAGGAAAGGTGGTTGAGACCAAGAGACAGGACTCATTTCAAAAGCAGCTTGATGCTGTGATGGGTTGATGGAAGGGAGGGTACTCTGGAAGGATGAGATCAGATGGGCCGAAGGGCCTTCTTCATCCAACCTGATCTCATGATTTTGTGTTAAAATTGTTACTTTTGTATTTTAATTAACAGAGGATTGGTTTGGAGGGCAGGGTGTTTTTTCTCTCCTTTCTCCTTCGAAACATCTCAAAGCGCTTCACAGGGCTCACCCACTGCAAGCCCCACCCCTCTCCCCCACACTCCCCTTCACCTCCTCCATCCTGAGGAGCTCAGATAATTAGATAATTTCATCAGATAACGTTTAAAGATTGCACAGAATTGTGGAAAATTCTTGAATTCATTCTTACTTCAGAGGATGTTAAGTGAATGTAGCTGAACGCAGCCGCCAATGTGCATACAGCAATGCCCTAGAAACAGCATTGAAGTGAATGACCAATTTTATAATAATAATAATCCTTACATTTGATATAATGCCTTTTCACATCATTGAGAGGTCTCAAAGCTTCACAGAATATATTGTAAAGGTATTATTAACATATTTTATTATTATATTATTAATATATTGTAAAGTTATTATTATTATCTGGAGGGTTGTTGGCCAGAACATTATAAACAAATGCCCTTCTCTTTTTGAATAGTGCCACGGGATCTTGAACATCCGCCTGAACAAATAGACAGGACCTCGGTTCATCGTCTCATTCAAAGAACGGCACCTCCAGCAATGCGGAGATCTCACATTACTGCTCTGGACCTTGGCTACAGGCTCAAAGCCCCAACATAGGACTCAAACCTGTGACCTTCTAACCCAGAGGTCCAAGTGCTACCAACTAAGCCAGATTCACTCCCTGTCAGATCTTACATGTTATTCACATGAGAGCCTTGACAGTGCAGAGTCTTGACACACAGGCATCCATGTCTACCCTGACTTGACTGTCAAAATTCTGCTTGGACATCAATATCAATTTCAACTTCCAGACTGCGGTCAAAGGAGGCTACTCCTGCCGGCAGGATATAGGCTCCCCAGCAGAGCTTCCAATCTACAATTTACAAATCCTTTTGCAAATCATCGGCCAATATCTCTCTGTATATCCATCCCCATTAGTAAACCTGACCGACTGTTTCCCACAGATTTTGTTACCAAAGACTCTAACAGAACCCTTGTGTTTTACAGAATATCCAGTCACACTTAACGTTTGTTAATTTCATAGTACATCATTAATGCCTTTCACCATTTTAAAATCTTCGATGAAAGCAAGTTCACCTCTTAATAACATAACTCTGCAAGCCAACACCCTAACAGGCAGGGTGGGTATGCAGCGGGAGGCTTGCCAGGCAGTGTTTGCAATGTCAAACGATCTGGTTGATTAAACATTAGAAATATGTCCCAATGCATACTCTGGGGTTCCCCAATCCATTGACACTTGCCATCTTGCACTTAAACTCTCCAGGATTAGGTAACCAAGGTGCTTTCCTCTGGAGAGAGGGTTGCTGGAAGGTGTTACCTGGAGTCCAAGTTCATAAACAGATGTCTGTACATCCAGCGCCTGGAATTCACTAATTGGAGATGCGGAACTGCTTAACGTCCGCATCTCCAATTAATGAAACCATCGTTCAGTGGAAAGGGATGTGTGTCCAAGCTGTGCGCAGGAAGATGCTGGCAATGCTCTCAAGCATTCATGCTGAGCTGTACTGCCCACCAGAAAAATAGCAGGCTGTTCCTGGTACCTACCGTCCACCTAATCAGTTATCAAATGACCAACTAGTGACTATCCTACTTGGAAAGGTAATAAGTAGGGTTTCCTTGGTGCTGAACTGGCTCCAAGGTGACATGCTTGGTAACGAAATGTCAGAATCAAGCCAACCCTCTGCGGTGGTCTTGCTAATCCAGTTCCTGAGATAACCGGGTCCGCAGTATTATGGGCACTGCTGATGACAGCACAGCCAGCCTGGCTCATCAGCAGATCCTGGAAAGGCAGACCAGTCACTGGGGGAAGGGAGTCTTCCCATTCAGCAACCATTAACCTTGCAAGCCAAAGTCCTAATGGCTAGGATGGTCTTAGCTGGACAAGCATTCGGAAAGCTTGCCAGACAGTGTTTTCAGTGCCAAGTTGGATTCCAGAAGCACACCAATACACACTCTAGATTCTTGTCAAACTGCATTTAATACTCTCCAGTATACTTGATCTCTCTCTTGCCTTCGATAACCGTTGACTACTCCATCCTCCTCCACTGCCTCTCCTCTCACCTCAACCTTCATGGTTCTGTCCTTGAATGGTTCAGATCCTACCTCTCACACCGTCTCCACTTTGCCTCCACAAATGGCTTCTCCTCCAGGCCAAGCATAATATCGTGTGGCATTCCTCAGGGCTCTGTCCTTGGTCCTCTCCTCTTGAACTTGTACATGCTCCTCTCTACCTCTCTGACCTGCTTACCTCCTACACATAACCCGCTGCCTTTACTCGACCGGCTCCGGCCTTCTGCATGTCCATCATGCCCTCCGTTCCACCATTGGTGACCGTGCTTTTAGCTACAACGCCCCAAAACTCTGGAACATTCTTCCTCTATGCCTCTGCCTTTCCACTTCCTTTCCCATCTTTAGAATGCGACTGAAGACCTTCCTATTCGACCATGCCAGCGGTCACCTCCCATTCCCCCCGGGGTCGTGCTCCACTACTGTCAAGTGGTCTGGCACGCTGCTCTGAGTGAGGGTTGCTATATAAATGCAAGTTGTTCTTGTTGTTGCTCCCTCTTAGTGACATCACCCGCAGACATGGGGTCAAATTCCACATGCATTCGGATGACACCGATCTCTATTTCTCTGCCTCCACGCTCGACTCCAGAATCACTGCTGTCCTAACAGGATGTCTGTCAGACATCAAGTCCTAACTGAGAGCTAACTTTCTACAGTTGAATGTCAACAAGATCGAGGCTCTCCTGATTGGCTCCCGTCAGTGCCTCCTCACCTCAGACACTGTCAGCATCACCATCCACGGTTGCACACTCAACCTTACTAAGTCAGCCCAGAACTTTGGGGTCTTGTTTGACCCTCAACTATCCTTTCTACCCAACATTTGTGCCATGACCCACTCTGCCTTCCCCACCTCCGCAACATCGGCTGGCTCCGCCACTGTCTCACACCGTAGGCAGCCAAAACCCTCATCCATTTGACAAGGTTCCACATAATAATCCTTGCACATGTGAGACTTTTAAAGATTAAGGGTTACAGCTTGGGAGTGCGATCCCCGGGGCTCATTCGGAATCCAAAAATTTGAGAATTTTGATACCCCAAATCCCAGGATCCCGAATCTTACCTCGTCCAGGACGCCCATGGTCATTCTCCACAGAGTCAGGAGGTTTAAACGCCCGCTCCAACCAGATCGTCCTCATGATAATATGTGGCCAAGATCCGTCCTCCGCATCCACCCAGACTTAGCCTTTATATATTCCCCAAATCCCGGGATTCTCCTCAATGAATCCCAGGTTTTGGGAGCACCATTATCACATAGGATCCCAGGATCCCATATTAAATGTAATTTATCCAATTGGATTAAAAAAACATTATAGTAGCAGGACCTCCTGTAGAATGTACATGTCGTCACAATCAGGGTTCAATATTGATGTTTGAACTCTTGTATTTGAGACTGCTGCAAGCTCATTCTGTATTTATATCAGTAGGAGGTTATGTTTCTCACTGCGATCAGTCCCGCTTAATCTCCATCAGTTGTTATGAGCTTCGCCTCACAACAAACACACCATTTTAGATATCCATGTAGCCTCACAATTATCTAATTACAAAGGCCGACACGGGGACTGCAAGCCTTGGCGCATACGGCTCAGTTCTCTTTTTTCTTTAGACAACACTGCAACATTTTATAACTGAAAGTATCGTACCCCATTGCTTCCCTGCAGAGTCCTCACTGGTACGTTCTCCATCAAATCCTTCAGGTAGTATTCCGCTCTCCCTTCCTGTGCTTGAATCATCTGGAACGATATGAAGCAATGGCCCACATTAGTGGAAAAAGACTCTCTTTTTCTTCTGGAGACATATTAGTTTTGCATAGACATGTTTAGGTTCTTAGTCGATTGGTGAATCGCTTTTCAGGGGTAGTAATCCCTCCAAAAAAAATTATAATAATTAGGTCACTCAATCCACCACTGTGCATAATTTGCTGCTGAATTTTGCCCACAAAATGTACAGTCAATTCACTTTAATAATCCTTGCATAATCCTTGCATTTGATATAGCGCTTTTCACATCGGGAGGACGTCCCAAAGCGCTTCACAGAACACACTGTAAAGTGAATTGACTGTATATTTGTGGGCGAACGCGCAGCCAATTGCGCACAGCAATGTTCCACAAAAAGTCATAGATTGAAAATGACCAATTTATTATTGTTTTTGTTTTTGGAGGGATTATTATTAGGCTCTGTGTGGAGTAAGGAAACTTGCCCAAGGTTTCGCCCTGCCTGGAATTGAACTCAGGTCTCTCGCTTGCAAACCGAGTGCTCTAACCACTGAGCTACAGGACTCCACTTTACAGTATATTCTGTGAAGGACATTGAGACATTTCAATGACATGATAAGGTGCTATATCAGATTTTAGGTGAATTTCTTTTCACACAGGCTGGACAGAGTGAGTGGGAGCCCCCCCACCCCCCACAGATGATGACACCCTCAGCCTAGCACTGAGTGGGGTTTCCCCTGCCTGGCGTCCCCCACAGTGTGAGATGAACTGACACTATGTCACTGTGTACACTTTCCTGAGCAGTATTTTATACTCACCATGTGATGATCCTTGCATTTGATATAGCGCCTTATCATGTCATTGAGACGTTTCAAAGCGCTTCACAGAATATACTGTAAAGTGAATTGACTGTATATTTTGTTGGCGAAACACAGCAGCCAATTGCTCATTGGAGCAGAGAGGTCATAAGAGGAGCGAAAGAAGAGTTTAGGAGAATTTCTTTTCACACAGAGTTTTCTTGAGATGAGTAATGCAACTAAGGTGGTATAGGCAGAGTCCATTGTGGGTTTCAAGACGAAAGTCATCAGATATGTGAAGGATAGAGGCTTGAAGGAGTTTGGGCATAGGATAGGGCAGTGGGATTGAACGAACAGCTTGCTCTAAGAGATTATGCAGACTTGATGGGCCGAATGGCTTCCTTCTGCTCTGTAAATTTCTATGATAGTCTGTGCCAGTACGTATGCTCCACACAAGCCTCCATCCCTCTTCATCCCCTCTCCTATACTCTTCAATTCCTGTCTCTTTCATGTATGCATAGAAGTTATTTTAAAAACAGCAAAGTCTCGTTCTTGTCCTGATTTGACTCAGTTTGAAGTACTATTGAGGAGTCCTGCAGCATAGACCTGCAGCCTTGCAAGCGAGAAGACCTGGATTCGATTCCCAGGGGGATGAAACCTTAGGCAAGTTTTTTTACACCACAACCCTCTGTTTAAGTAGTACGTAGTAACCCAGTTGTTAGTCGATTGGCGGATCGCTTTCTGGCAGTAATAATCCATCCCCCTAAAATAATTCGGCCACTCAATCCACAACTGTTTGTGCGACACTGTTGTGCGCAATTGGCTGTCGCGTTTCGACCATAAAATATGCAGTCAATTCACTTTACAGTATATTCTGTGAAGCAATTTGAGATGTCTCAATGACGTGATAAGGTGCTATATCAAATGCAAGAATTATTATTATTATTGTAGCCTTGGTGTCAGGAGGTTGTGGGTTCTGAGCCCCGATCCAGTAATTGAGCTCCTAGTCTGGATTGACACTCCAGTTCCAGACTGGCATTCCCATTGACCAGCAGGAATTTGGTCTGGAAGGAGGTCAGCATGCTAATAATTATAATCCTTGCATTTGATATAATGCTTTTCACGTCTTCTAGACATCTCAAAGCACTTCAGAGAATATACTGTTAAGTGAATTGATTTGTTTGACCCTCAACTGTCCTGTCTCCCCCATATCTGCCACATCTGCAACATTGCCCGACTCCACCAATGCCTGATTCCTCACACCGCCGAAACCCTCATACACGCATTCATCACCTCAAGGTTCGACTGTGGAAACTCCCTCCTTCTCGACTTCCCCAACTCTTCCCTCCACAAGCTGCAGATCATCCAGAACTCTGCAGCTTGTCTCCTCTCCCGCACCAGGCTCTGTGACCCCATCACCCTCACCCTCGCCCAACTCCACTGGCTCCCCATCCCTTAGAGGATAGAATTCAAAATCCTCGTCTTCACTTTCAAGGCCCTCCATGGTCTTGCCCCATCCTACATCTCTGACTTGCTGAAACCCTATCAACCTGTCTGCTCCCTCCGCTCAGCAGGCTCCAGCCTGCTCCATGTCTCCCGCCCGACCCACCCTACCATCAGCGGCTGGGCTTTCAACCTCTCTGCCCCCACTCTTTGGACCTCCATCCACAATCCCTCTCTTGCTTCCTTCAAGGCATGATTCAAGACCCTACTTTTTGGCCGTGCCTTCAGCCACATTCCTACCCCTTAAGTCCTCCCTCATCCCAACCCTGTCACCCCCACGCTCGAGTTCTGATCCCTGACTGTTCATCGCCTCCTAACGTGAAAGGTACTTTACAAAAGTAATTTTGTTGATGTTGTATTTGTGGGCAAAACCCGGCAGCCAATTGTGCACAGCAGTGTCCCACAAACAGTCGTGGATTGAGAGACCAAATTATTATTTTTTTTCTTGAGGGATTATTATCAGGCATGTGCAGTAAGGAAACTTGCCCAAGATTATGACCTGCCAGGAATGGAATCCAGGTCTCTCGCTTGTAAGGCGAGTGCTCTAACCACTCAGTGAGTTACAGGACTCCCATTAAGTGATGTACTTAACGTACTTCCAATCTTCGGAATCAGATGCACATGTGTGACTCTGAATCCTTATCACAGTCACATTAAGAGATCCTGCAAATTAGATACCACGAGCACTACCAACACCCCCCACCCCCCCACCCGAGCCCTTCCCCCTTCACCCTAAGTTATTCGGAAAGCAAACCTGAAAGAAACAACTTGCTGACAAAGACGTTTGAAAAACAACTTGATCCCCTCTTGTTTCGCCCTTCGTTACCTCCGAGCACAGCACAGGCCACTGGATTCTCAATACAACACAACTTGATTTGCAGCCAATGCTTTGATGTCCTGTGAATTGACCTCGCTGCTCGCTTTGATCTTCTCCAAGAGATGCAACTTTGCTCACATTTCACTCGCGATCCAACCTCCCATTCCACCCCCCCACCCCACTGATGAGATTGAATACAGCCATGATCTCAGCCCTTATTTACACAGGCCTCCAAGAAACTGAACAGATCATTGAGAGGTGATTAGCGCTTGATTTGATTAGGCCTGACATGATTTTGATACCCATTAAAAAACGTTATTTAATAACTGAAATGACCCATATCATGACAAAACACCGCAAACTTTTCTTTAATATTGAAATGCAGGGCCAGCCTCTTGCTCTGACTTCGCAAGGTCAGATTTGAACTGTTTGAAGTCAGGGAGCCTTGAAAGAACCCATTTCGCAGATGATCCAGCTTTGCATAAATAAACACGGGGACCTCTGAACCCTGACTGGAGACCTGAGCGCACTTCAAAGCCACGGATGAAACGATCAACATGCATCATTAAAGCCAGCTCTGGCTCAGCAATCCTGACAAGCGAAGGTTGCTGCGTAAAAAGGGGAGGAAGGAGGAAGAACTGAGAGAAACGGTGTAATCAAGTCAGGCTTGAACAATCAGTCCGAGGTGCTTTGTGCTCTTTAACAACAACTGAATCAAGTCCTGCTAGACATCAGGCTTAGTGCAGCAATTATTTCTGACAGGTATAGACAAGGGAAAAGCACCCAAGAAGGGAGGCAGTGTCTATTCATTTGGGGGATAATGGGCAACTGAGCAGCATTGAGTTTCTTCAGCTCCCCTTGTTAGGGCTTTAGCTTGACTGGTTCTGTTCCAATGAGGTTGCCTTGACTGCTGAAGACCTGCCTGATGTGTCTCCTTGGAGCATGTTCTTAAGCACTCCAAGACGCTACCTCGCGTGAAGAGCGCTATATGAATGCAAGTTGTTGTTGTTCAGCTTAAACCTAATCCAACCCAACCACCTAAAGGAGACATTTTATTCACCTCATATGGATGAACACTGAAGAGCTACAGTTGCTTTGGTTTCAGACCACTCTAACCCTGATGTCAATATCAGTCATGGAGAAAACATCTGTATGGCAGAATGATATGGACATTTCACCCCATTTGAAGATTGAGAGGTTTCTAGGGTCAATGAGATTCTAGGGCAAAATGAATGAATCCAGCTTTGTTGTGACTGACTCTTTGGATGCCAGCTTTCCCTTGGGCTGTGTCCTCACAGGAGTCTGAACCAGACTCCAGGACTTAGACTCCAGAATCCAGACTCCAGAACTCTAGGAATCCAGACTCCTGATTTTCAAACTCCTGAATAGCAGACTCCACGTTCAAGTGGAATTCCAGGAACAGCTTAAAAGTGTTTTGGGGATAAACCAGTTGGGCTGAGCAGTCTGTTTCCGTGACGCATCATTCTGTGTGATTATATAACTCTGCATCTTTGTTTCTGCTTCAAAACAGGCAGACCAGCTTGGTTTGGCATCGCTTCTGAATTACAGCACCTCTGGCAATGTGGTGCTCCCCCAGCACTGCACTGGAGTGTCAGCCTGGACTATGTGAGTTCAAAGTTCTGACATATGGTTTGGACCCACAACCTTCGAACCCAGAAGTGAGAGTGCTACTGAGTGCACAAGATTGAGGTCTTGAGACGCAGCTACCTAAATGGAATCCAGTCTTGGCACGGAGTCCCGTAGCATAATGGTTAACCCGCTTGCCTCACCTGGGTTCGATTCCGGGGCGGGGCGAAACCTTAGCCAAGTTTTCTTACTCCACATGCCGGGTTGCTTTCCGGGAGTAATAATCCATCCAGGAAATAAAATTGATAATTCAA